TAGGCTGCGGTATGCGGCCATCGTGATGTAGTGTGGGTAGGAAAAAAATAGTAAAATAATATGGTCGGTATAATATGGTATTTAATATAGGCACCCGTTTGCGGTGCGGTAATGATTTAGTAGAGATACCGTTTGGTAAGCGATCTTATAAGCGAATAAATTGCGGTTTTATCGTCGAAATATTTACACAAATGAGGGTGAAGTTAATAATTATTAATTTTATCCACACGCTGTGAAAACGGCTGTATAGAACTATACACGATAGGGTCGATTTGACCTGCAGACCACCTGAAAAACTTGATAATTAATATAATACCGCAGTTTTAACTTTAAAGATTATTTCGGAATAAATTTGTGCATTACCATAATATTACGCTTAGGCATTGCCTATAATACCTAAAATATTGAGAACGATAATTTCTCATGGTTCTGAATTCTGCCATTTCATTGAGTGATGATAGTGTTGAATTATTACACTGAAATTGGCTCAGAGGATTTGGCCATATTATGAATTTATACTTTAAATATTATATATATTTTATGAAAATATTTTTTTTTTAACTGTAAGTAGGTTATTTTTAAAAACTATTATACTTAAGATGTTTTTAAATTATACTGTTTAGTTACTTAAAATAACTGATAGGGTCAACTATTAACTTGATAAAGATAATACCAGGGCTTAAAGGTTTTTGGAATACATTTTGCATTACTATAGTATGATAATAATAACCAGTAGACTTGCCTATAATAATAAAATAATTAGAACAATCGTCAATCATTTATAATAGTCCCACTTTTATTGATCAACCGGTAGCCTATAATATATAATATTAATATTGATCTAATGTACAAAACAATTACATTTTTTTTTATGGTGAGTACCTTTTTGTTATTTTGAAAAATTATTATATTTCACATGTTTTTAAAAATAAATAATTTAAATTGAACAAGCAATTGACCAGTTGTCAATAAAATAATTATACTTATGAATTTAAACTATGTACTGTGCGTGGGCGTATGGTGTGTCAAGTTTCAAATATAGATAAGAACCAACAACGAATACTATTCTACTGCTACTTACGGTTGTAGTACCTACTAAAAATCTATGTGTATGAATAAGGACTAAGGATTTGCTCGAAAACTACTACTTATAGAACGGTCTAGTCTAGACCATTATACCTACATTGAATATTTGTGCGTAAGTCTAACGATGTGTTTATAATGCATTTTTATCGTTGGTAAACAAAACACGTAAAATGGACATGCCACGCAATAACGTAGGTAATACAGTTCGGGTCCCGAGAGGTATTTACCAAATAAAAACTTTATGTCCGTTTATTTTCTTTTGTTGCTTTGAAAATAATAAATAATATTGTATTGCCCGCTTGGTCATGAAATGTAGAGACTAGAGGTAGTTCCGGACACTTAAGCAATACAGTCTCGTGATGTGCACCAGAGACGTTTTACACTTATATACAAGTACTGGGTAGTGTTTTCATACTCTTGTATGAAGAAATAAAATTTTATTCATTTTATTTTTTAACTGAATTGGTTCAATATATTGCTCTATAAATGCACATAATAAAATAAAATATTAAATTGTATTTATTTAATAGGTATACATTTTAATTTTAATTCCGTAAGAAACATTATTTTGCACAGTTAAGTACCATTAAGAAATCATAAGTCAATGCCACTAATAGTTTATTGTAATTTATAATAATATGTGCATGCATTATGATAAGTGGGCTAGAGGGTGAGAGAGGGTAGAACATTTGAATATTATATTTAAATATTGAATAGGTAGTATTTATGTGTTACATAAATCAATTATATCACATAAAATATTATAATATCCAAGTATTATATTAACGAATAGTGTTAGTCATTTTTATACGATCGTAAATAAAGATTGTGATCTTCAACGTAAGCCAATGTGTATGCAATATGAAGTGTATGATATATTGAAAAGTATGACATGTTGTCATAATTCAATACAAATTATTTTGCGAACGGGTGTCTTGTAAAAAATACTCCATACCTACTTATACGCATTTAAAGTATACAACAACCTGCGTGTTTGGCATATGCTTATACATGAGATATTCAAAGAATATAAATGCGCGGCGAGTGCTCAAATACTGTCATCATTATTGGGGTAACTAGGGGGGTTGGCTCGAGTAGGTTCAGCCACCCCAGAATTTTCTAACAGTGTGGGAGCAATTATGTTCCCATTTGTACCTGTTGTATAGCTATAAAACATTTTTAGGACTCCCGCAGCCTCCCTAACCTAAATGACTATATTATGCCTATAGTTATCACGTCTCTGGATATATCATTATAGGCAATAAAATATTAAAATATAATACTCTATGACCACGAATAAAAAATACCTAGGCTTACATGTAGAAATCGTTTAAGCTAGGCTACATCAATTTATTGACGATCGCCGTTAAAATGAACTCACCCTGTACACGCATTATTCGTGGGTATTATCATAGATGGGTAATCCGGGCGATCAATCTTGTTCCGTCCCTGTACAAATACGCCGGCACACACCCACACATTCACAATATATCATATATATATACTAGGTAAATGGTATATTATAATATATATATATATATATAATATATAGTGTCACGAGGCACACGCGTGCCCTCATATTACTATCGGTTAGGTTACAACAATAATATACAATATTATATTATATTAGATTGTTGCTCGCGAATATTAATAATATAATACACACCATTATTATTATTATGGTCGCGACGGGTATATTCATGACGAGCGGCGAGTGTATATTGGGGGGCTGCGACTATTACACGTTCTGTGTAGTACATGTCTACATATATTCTATATGTATCGTATATTTGTATGTATATACAATATTCATACAATATAATATAAATATATATATATATAATCTGAACTGCAGCTCATGGTCCGCGACCGGAAGGGCGCGGAAGATTAGTCGGTGTTAAGCGACATCTGCTGCTTCCGTCATATAATAACAATAGTACCGCAAGCGATGACAATTTAATATATTATAATATGCACATATAGTATATACTGTTATTAAATGGTATTTATATGACATAAAATATGGTGCTGGCTTATACCTAGGTGGTTAATAGTCGTTTTATATGATATGATTACAATCGCAGGTCAGAGTACTACTATATATATAATATAACAGAAAGCCTTCGAGGACCGCACGCAATAAACTTTTTAAGTCTCACGTTGTAAAAAAATCGTACGTTTTTAATCATAACATTAAAATATCTATGTAGTTGTGTAGGCTATTTTAGTGGTTCAAAACGGAATCGAAAATTTGAACTGTGCCTAAATATAAAAAAAAAAAAGTACAAAACGAGAGTCCCAGATTTTTAAAAAATGAAAAAGCCGATTGGTTTTAATTTGTTTTCATTCGCAGTTTAGACCAATCGTCTGAGTGAACATTTTTTTTATTAAGTCGTGACCTAATAATATCATCAATATATAATTGTACTGCGCTAAGTAAACCGAAAATATTAGGTATTCAATACTGTTGTAGTACTTGGCGATAAAATGTTTATACTACGATTTAAATATTTATTTTAATATGTTAATATATTATTATAGTTGTTTAGTTATGTGCAACAGCACGACTCTTAAGTAAATTTCTCCAACGCTCACCGCCCACTACGGCAAGGCCACCTCAGTTTGCACCCCTCGGGCGCGACTGTTGTACGAACAGTATTTAAAAAAACACTACCTTGAGCGTTGTTCATTATCTATTTCATCCTAGATTTTAGCCATAAAATCCACCGTATTTTGCTTCATGAATCATGAGCAATCATGACTCACCACATTAGCTATCAATTATCATCATTAATAACATTATTTCTACAAAAGTATAATCTGCGCAATCTTGTTCCATCAAGAATATCCGGGTTGTTCCAAAACGGTATATTATATAAGGTTAATAAAATAAATAAGGTTTGAGGTCGCAACGATGAACCAACTCGTCTAAAATACTGAAGCTAACACATGTCAGGTGTAACCAAACCGACTGTACACTATAAGTAGTCAAAATAATACTTCTATTTTCAACTTCAGTACTTTTTCTGTTAAGTGGAAAGTGAATATAATTTGTGCATTCGAAGGTCATGACCAAAATTTCAAGTCAAGAACATTGGGAGACTAACAAAAAATTAAGAAACAGAGGGTTTTATTAACCCAAAATCAGTCTTCAACAAAATACATTTTGTGTTTTTGGTATTACTCAAAACAAAATAACGGTATACTTGATTTATTCTTCGAATATTTATATATCAGCATTTCTATACACCACGAAATTTTCAATATTTTGACTATTTATGAGTTATTTATAGTCATAAGAGATTTTCGATGTGTATTAGTTTTTTTTTAACTATTGTCAATAAAGCATTTTTTACTCGGTCAAAAAACTTGAATATTTATTACAAGGTGCCTCATAAGTTTTTATTAGAGTAATTTAAAAACGAATTAGTAATTAGGTACTATAGATATCACAACTTTTATGTATAGCGCTATACGGTATATTCAAATACGAAATCGGCTCAACGGGAATTTTTCCGGCAACCCCTTATGCCACTGTTGATTTATGTTTCAAAAATATGTCTCTTTTATCACATAGACGAATTATGTTTTTCCAAAAACATAAAACGACATCAAAAAACGACTAGTATTTTATGTGGACATTATATTATTATATGCGATGGGCATAGTGTACAACAATTGCTTTAGGTACAATTTAATATTGGCAGCCTGATGTGGCACTGTGGTTGTTCTCAGTTACAAAACGTATTCTGAGTGCAAGCTTCAGCCCGTGTCACTAGTTTTCGGATGGGTGATCCTTGTTTTAGTGACAAATCCTCGTCCCCATCTTTAAACGATAATGGCCATAGACCATAGTTGCCGGACTTAAGAGTTAAGATCAATAAAAAAAATATATATTATGGAATACGACTTACCAACACATGTTCAGCACCTTAGCTTCCTCCGATTGGTTGACGTTCATCTCTTCGCGGACTAGTGACATGAACTTTGAGGAGCACGAGTCCCAATCTGAGTTGATCGCCCCGTAACAGTCTGTATACTTCAGGTAGTCTGCAACATGATATAACAGTATGAAACGTACGCATAATTTCGATATGGTAGTGAATTAAAATAATATTTAAAGGTATCCCTGTGTGTCTGTGGCGGTGATACACAATATGTTATTTTTAAACTAAAACCAAATTTATAACTGTCAATTAGTAAGCAGCTGATTTTTTTTGTAACGTTGATGTTTATAAATTGAAATTCGAACACGTAGTTTCTGAGTTATTATACTTATTAATATGCCCATGTTATAGCTATAATGACGTTAAACGGAAAACAACATTATTTACAGATCATTAACGGTATTGACCAAATACATAGGTAATTATCGTTTTAAACTAGATATTTACACCATTGACCAAATACATAGGTAATAATCGGTATAAACCGCAAATATTAAAGTGTGTAAAGTTGGTCCCCCTCCAAGACTAACTATTTGAACTTTATGTTGTGCTGTTGAAGTGAAGCACATCAATTTAAAAAATTTCTACTGGCGTTAATTAATCCAACCGAAAAATATAGGGAATGCTTAAATAATCTCCATTAAACCGAAATCGAAATTTGTACTGAGAAAAATTCACAACCAAAAAGGTGTGATGTTGGAGTATGGTTTAAAGAACACTTACTTAAAAAAGTACAAACTACTTCTTACTGGTTTGAATTTTGATGTAAACATTTTAAAATTTTTAAGAAAGTAATCCTGTTTACAGGAACAATTTACAGGAAAAAGAGCGATTCTGATAAGAAAAAAATTAGTTGGTATCACCTCATGGCTCTCCTTTAATGGTATACAGAATCTAATAATTTTTAAGTATGGTTTTTAAGTGTAATAAGAAGTTCCAAAAATCAGAATTTGAATAAATTTAGTATCAAAGGAAAAAATGAGTGTGGACATATTATATATTTGGTGAAGCACTTTGTCTAATTTATATATAATATAGATACATATTAGATTGTTCTAGGCGATCCCTGAATCAGAAGTTATAATATGTATTATGATAAATATGAGGCTCTTGTATAATAAATATAAAATTATAAAAAAAAAATTTCATTTTTCTTTGAATTTCCTGAGATATTGACAGCTGGTTTATGAGATAACCATCCTTCGTCATGTCATGTTATTATATCAGACGGTACAAGATATTTCCACGAAATTATATATTTTAAGGCTGTGCCATTGCTGTATAATAAATACGATTATCTTTTGAGTACTTTTTCATACAATTTGTTTCGAGATAATAATAATCGTTTGACTTTGTAATGCATATCGCAAAAATGAGCGGCGTGCGAAGTTTGAAAAAAAACCCATAAAAACCGTGGATTTCGATTTCACTCGACGACTAGTGTTTGTTTTCAAAGTTTGTCGACCGTTAAGACCTAAAACCCAAGAATACACAAGAGGGAGGAAAAAATCAAAAAAAATCTTCCACCAAAACGAACGAAACGGATTTACCCCCGAGAACCAACGGGACGTATTTATATTTTTAGAGGTACGGTCGGTGTGTTTATGTTTTTTTGTACCTACCGAATAAGTTAGTGTGTGTGTATATATGCATAAATGTATAGACACGAACAAATATATACAATAGCTATTGGTTTGGAGAGGGACATCGTCAGATTTCTTTGCATTTTTTTTTTGATTTTCCTCTCTATAAACACACATGCGAAAAAGTCGAAGTGTTTCTTGGTTGTTGTCTTAAACTCAAACGTAATTTATATGGAAATAGATTTCGGGTGTGTGCTTATAATAATCTACATATAATGTATATATGACGTAAACAGCATTATTATGTATCGACGTACAATTTTATACAGAAAGCACTTTGTAGTAGGTGCCTACCTACCTACTTAACTACCTATATATTATACACTATGTAACGGTGTAGTTTGACGATTATATTTTTACATAAATCCTAGATCAATTCTTTGATATCATTGCTGACTGGCTATCGAGTGGTTTCTAGTACTTCTAGGTGTTCTATGAAAAACGAGTAACTCGACTAAAAATGAGTTTCCTTCTAGTCTTACAGTCTCGTAAAGTGATAATGGTTCAAAAAATCAATTGAAGTAACTTGAATTCATATGTGTTTCATTAAATCTAACAAACGTATAGTACTACAGCCAATACACAAACATTATCGACAAAATAATATAAAGTATGTCATTTTGTAATATTATTTATTATTTATTCTATAATCTATAATTTACTATAGTTTATATATGTAAATTTATCGTCCTCTTGTAAAATACGGATAATCTATGTGAAAAATTTGGAAGTGTCTGCCCCGTGTCTGACCACAAGTCTTGCTTTGTGCAGAACACTCTTAAAACCAATTTGGGCTTATGAATTTCAGTAAGTATAGTGGTTTAACAAAAAAAAAATAAATAAAATTTGATCTTTTCAAAATATCGATATTAGAAAACTTATTAAAATTATGCATGCCACTCCCTACGTATCAAACTTAACATTAGGCACAGATAGACAATTTAAAACCATATTTGAAGAAACCAAATATATCTATAATAGATCTCATGATCGTTTATCATCTCATCCAAATCCGAAAATTCAAAAACGATCCTCTTTTATCAACTCTTGATAATCCTCGAAGACTCCTTAAACGTAAATGCGATCATAATTTCCTACTATACAGATAATAAACACGTCATCAATGGCTTCTTTCGTCACTTTAATGAGTTTTTTCCTGTCATGCTTTTTATTCACGGATCACGTAGGTATGCTTATTGTGTCAATTTGACATACATTATATATAACTCAGAATTGAGGTATGACAAAAAAAGATATTTATACATTTTATGTATATTATTCGCCGGTATACGACACTCATTATTTCAAAAACTATTAACATTTTTGAAAATATTTTTGCTACATAATTATAAATTTGCTAAAAACAACAATTTTACTATTTTGTAATTAATATTGTTACTAAAAATAAATAACATATAATGTACAAAGTTAATGGATCTTGTATCCAGTATTAAAGATCAATAAAAAACATTTTACAATTCTTTACATTTTTAATGACAACGTGCATTTTTAATTCCTCATTCCAAAACAGAATATTTTTTGGAGCACTTTGATGTATAGAAATGGAATTTCGGACAAGTATTCACGAGTATCTTATAAGCCTATTGGAATTTAAAGTTCAGATGCACCGAGTATAGTACTGGCTGAGTGGTACACATTTCAACATTTCGCTTCACTACTCTGCTCATCTAAAACTTTAAATAGGTAACTATGAACTTATAACTAATTAACTACTTTGATTTTTATAGATCGAAATACTCCGAATAATGTTCTGCTTCAAAATATGTAAATAAAAATGTATTTCGTCATTCAAAAGTGTAGACATTTTTAAAAAAATTAGAACCATAAAAATAAAATAGAATTTTTTTCCAAAAATGTTGTTTTGGAATGACTTAAAATTATATACTTATAAGAAATGTTTTTAAAAACATTTGTGTTCCCTCAAATTACGAGTGTCTTAAGTTAAATGGATCACACCGTGAACACACGCTGGACCCTGACTGTACATTGATGTCCGCTTAAATCCACACTGCCGAACCAAGGAATTGGTGAATTCCAAGTGAATTTTTAACTGCCTGTAATTTTACGTGCATATTATTTTAGTTCGAGTAAATTTTACTATAATTGATTTAAAATGTCTCAAATGATATATTTTTAATTATAAAAAATTCTTTCAACTTTCAATGTACATAATGTATTTTTTGTTTCAAACAATGTCTTAATTAATTATTTATGTAAGCCTCGCTGTTACACTATATGGAAATATATTAGTTATCCATACACCATGACTTTAAATTATTGAATGGCCACAAAGCTTTTTCTCGGACAATGTTTTTCCAATAAAAATGTCTAACTTCTTAAAAGCGTGGGTTTCGTAAAAACATTTAATAAATTAAACGACTTTTAAGTCGGAGTCTTCCAATTAATAGTTTGAAACTAAAATCATGTTAAGATTACCTGGGTTTTGTCTTTGAATAAAAAAATGACATTTTGAATTATTAGTTTTATTAATTATGTACTAACCAGTCATCTAAGGTATATTTTAAAGATGGTTTGGTGCATACTATTATTGATATACTATATTTATAATTATTAGTAAACCAACCAAATCTCAACAGAGCATATTATCATAGTATTCTACTATACTAGCTAGCGAACTTCTCGTTTAACTCATCTCCACACAAACCTGTATCGTATTTTATTTTATTTTATAGTAAAAAAAACAATCATTGCTTTGTAAAAAATATTAGAACCAAGAATATTTTTAATGTTTCAATATAGGAATTATTTACGAGTGTAATTTTACAAATTGAATGTACTAAATTACTTGTACAAAAAAACAAAAAAAAATTATAATACAAAAAACTAAAAAGTAATTTCAGTACCATCGTAGATGTGATTAAAATATTTAGGTATCTACCTAATTTTAATCTTGTATTTAATCTTTTTAGTTTTAAAACCAAAAATGTCACGTCTTATCAAAATAATATACATAATTTTATAATTAATATTATAAATAAATTATAATACCAATTTAATACTTATAAACTCAGATAACATTTTAACTAATTTTTTGAAAATCTTTTGCTTCAATATCATATTAAGATTTGATTGTTGTTCAAATATGATTATATTTTACTTAGGAATTAACATGGAAATATCATCATACAATTTAATTATGAATAAACAACTTTCAATATTTAAAAAGGTATGTACCTATATTAAGCATAGGTATACAGTTAGTATATTTCTTGAAAATTATTTTACATTATAAAAAACTAAAATACATTTTTATTGAAAATTCCAGGTCTTTGACAATAAAAATGCATAAAACTATTTTAAACTATTTTTTTAGAACCCAGGTCTTTTCTAACATGAGATAGTTCTTCAGGTGTCCACTGCGGTATCATTGTTAATATTGTTCCATACAATTTACTAGAAAATTAAAATGAATAGTTCC